TGTGGTGGTAAGTGGGTAAGCAACATTGGTGGATTTTAAATATGATTAGAATTATAAACTGTCAAAAATTTCTAAACTTTATCATGGATTTCCAAAAAATAACATAAATACGCTTATAGCTCCTAATCCTATCATTAATTCATTCCCAAGGGCTTAAAATTTATTGGCAACATTAATTTATTCCTAATTTAAAATTTCAGGCCGTTAAAGTAAAATTGTCTAAGTTGAAACATCTACTGTCATATTATTGCTATCAATTAAATTTGATTTAATTGAGATCGATAAATTTGGTAAAATTGAGATAGGATTTAAAAATAAGATTTCAAATTCATATTCTGCCATTGCAAACTAAGTCTCATCAACTTCCACTATTGAATTTATAGAGATTTGATATTGATCTTGACTTAAATTGATTATCTATGATAAGATTGATTCAGTAAAATTAAATTTTGAACTCTATTTGACTTGATTAGAAAACTACAATAACACAAATTAATGACCTTCTGTTTGATTTTAAGATATCAAGTTAGAATTAGTTTCTAAAAAGCATTAACTTGGTTATTCTAAATTACAAATCCAATGTTCCTCTATATCACAACCACTGGAACATCCATCATAATTTTCTTGATTTCCATCATCACACTATTCTGTATTTGATAATTTACCATTTCCACATGATAATGTTTTATTTTATAAATCTAAATCATCAATTTCATTAGCAATGATTATTTTTTTGCATCCTTCTACGAGTAAATCATATCCTTCATCACATTCTTAACAAATACCTTACAAACATTTAGAACAATTAACTTCACATTAAAACATACATAAATAACAACCATCATATGGAATATCATTAAAATCTTCACATTCCTCTAATCCTTACACAATGATTCCATCGCCACATATTGGTTTACATAAATTATTCTCATCCATTTCGAAATTTTCAAAACATAAAAAACAAAGATTAGAAGTAGAACATTAGAAACAGTTTTGATCGCATATAAATTTACAATCATAACATCCATCATTAGGATTATAGTTTCCATCGTCACATTATTCTCTAGAAGAAATAGCTAATAAACCATCTCCACAAATTTGATAACATTTATTATCTATAATTTACCATCCATCAATACATACGTAGCATTATTATTCTATACATTCTTTACATTCTAATTAGCAACTTGTTTAGCATTTGTAACATCCATCAAATTATATATTATTCTAATCATCACAAAACTCATATTGAACCGTAATTCCATCCTCGCATTTAGGAATACATGCTTTCTTATTCCAAGATAGCTTATAAAAGTTTTCGCATTCCAGACAAATCTTCATTTGACTAAGTAAACAATTTTATATTAATTTTGTTTCACATTGATGATAATAATATCCAAATATATCATATGTTTACAAATTACAATCAAAATTATAGATTGGTAAAGGATTAGCAAATTAATCATGTAATAATTTGTGATAATAATTGCCATAATCTAAAAAGTTAGAAATCTAAATTGAAATTTTGTCTTATGATGTTTAACCTTAAATTTGATTTGTTTCTTTGCATGTTTGATCAATTAAATTGTAATTTGACTGGCATTAGAAGCATTAACCAAATTTACATTATTTACAAAATAATGGGCAAGAAAATTTACATTGAAAACAACCATCATGTTCTTCTTCATTCCCATCATCACATTCTTCATTCTCTACAATTATTTAGTCTCCGCATAAAGGAATGCATGTTTATTATATTATATCATATTCCCATTCTTTTAAACACTCAACACACTTATCACTAATACAATTGCTACAACCATGAAAACAATCATCAACATCACTAAGAATATAATTTTTTTGATCTGCCCATAATTAAAAATCAGATATTCCCCAATAAGATTCATATCCCAATAATTTTTATTGAAGCGAATTTACTCGAATGATCAAGATCTATATTTACTTAATTTACATCATCACCCCAACAATGGCCTGGAGTACCACAAATACTAGATTTAGTACATTCAGAATTGTAATAACCAGTGAAAACCAAACGATCATTTACCATTACTTCCATTTTTTCATTTCCCCAATTATCAATACTAAGATCAATGATAATTTTTACTCCCAAAATCGGAAATTTAATGAGATAGCTTCATGAGTTGGCAACATAACATTTTTGATAATATTTGTATGAGAATTAAAGTTATTATATCCACCAAATATTTATGAAGTTCCACAATTACTTACAACTCCAACTCCATTTTAAACAATCCAATCTAGATAATAATATTTAAAATTATACCATTTTCGTAAACAAAATTCCCAAAAAAATGAGAATACACTAATGATTTAGCTTAGACTTGAATATTCAATAGAGAAATTAGAATTAAACTTATCAAATTAATGTAAAGAGAAGGAATATCGATAGATATAGTGATGACTATTTTATGGTGACCTAATGATGTAATCATTTCTAATTATATTATTTAATTAATATTAATTAGAAATTTATTATTGAGGTTTGGGTTTGGGTTTGGGTTTGGGGTTTGAATAAGGGGTTGGGGTTGGGTTTGGGTTTGGGTTTGGGTTTGTAAA